CGACTGTGTTGCAAACTGAAAATTGCTAAGAAAAGATGGTAAGCAGACATTATGGTGAGCATTCTGCAATGGATACAAATATGGAATCACTATGTTGTGCACCTGAAGCTAAAACAATGTTGTATGTCAATTATACTTCTATAGAAAAGGGAGTGTTAAACATGTCACTAGAAATTCAGTGCTTAAAAGAAAATGAGGTTTGCAAATTTGTAATAAATGAGACTGAACTACCAAACACAAGGCAAACAGAAATTGCAAGAATGATGACTGTAGTATATGTGAAATATATATACATATATGTTAAAAATGATATGTAATATATATGTGAAGCCTTTTTACAAATAAATAAGAAAAAGAAAAGTCAACAGGGAAATTGATAAAGAACATGAATGAACAATTCATACCAGTAAATACAAAATGGCCAAGAAAGACTAAAGACCTGAGGTTCTCCTCTCTCTATCCACACTGGCCTTTTCTCAGGTTCTTGAACATTCTGTGCTGCCTCCTGATACAAGATCTCTGCACAGGCTCTTCCCTCCACCAGGAACACACTCTCTCTATGAGCTTCATGCATGTAGTGATTCCCTCTAGTCTCCACTCAAAGCCAACTTTCCCAGGAAAGCGTTCTTTGAACACACCCCTGCAACCTAGACTAAGTCAGATTCTCTTCTTCCCCCTTATGAGCACTTTCAAGACCAAGTGTTCTTCACCTCACTTTTCACAGCTTGTCATTACACATTCATCTTTGTTTGTTTTGTTTTGTTTTTGTTTTCTTTTTTTAATATAATCAGTGTTGTTTTTTTTTAAGATTTATTTATTTATTTATACAAACACTGGGTAAAGTCAGAAGCGTGGGAGGGTGAGAGGATTCACCAGAGCCAGAGTAGGGAACAGAACAGGCACAGTGATGAAATACACTGCTGAGGGAAGCAGGGGGCTCGGCAGAAGAGGTCTGCATGCCATGTGGGACCCTCACCAGTGGCTGGGGATCGAACCTGCGCTGCAGAGGCTGTGGGCAGCTTCACAGCCCAGCACTCAACCACTGCGCCACCAGGGGAGGCCCTACACATTCATCTTTGTAATGATCAAAATGTTTGTCTCCCCTGCTGGACAAACTGTCTCTATATTTTGCTGATCACTGTATGTGCAGCACAAAAGCTAACGTAAGTTATAGGCTATGCAGAAAATGGAATAATATACAGTCAGCTAAAAATGTTATAACAGATTGATATTTAAGAGTATAAAAGATAACATGTTACTAAGTAGCAAAACAAGCTACAAAGTAATGCAGATAGTGCCATGGGGAGGGATGTGTACACAGAGAAAAGACACATAAATCGCTTTTCTTTTTTTTAAGATTGATTGATTGATTGATTGATTGATTGATTTATACAAGCACTGGGTACAGTCAGAAGCGCGGAGGGTGAGAGAATTCACCAAAGCCGGAGCGGGGAACAGAACAGGCAGACTGATGAAATACACTGCTGAGGGGAGCAGCGGGCGCTTCAGGAGAGGTCTGTGCGCCATTGTGGGACCCTCGCTGGTGGCCAGGGATTGAACTGGTGCTGCAGAGGCTGTGGGCACCTTCACAGCCCAGCGCTCAACCGCTGCACCATCAGGGAGGACCCATAAATCACATTTTTAAGAGAGGATCAGAGTGACATTTATTTTCCTGATTTTGCTTATTTTCTTTAAAATGTCAATTATGAACACATACATATGGCACATACATGTACATGGCAATTTTAATAAAGGTAAAGGGTACAATTATCCATGGTTTTCCTTTTTGACCTTGGTACCCCTGTGTGATTGCTGTAAGAACCATAAGAACCACAGATGGTGTCTCTGTCCACTTATCTTCTCTCCCTCCTTCTCCACTCCTCTAGTTTTATTTCCACTAACAGAAAGAAACATAGCCCAACGCCAAGGTATAATGTAGAGTTCTATTTAGCCCCCTCCAATCCCAGGTTCTCCATCTTCAGAAAATAAAACTAAACCAAAGAGCACACCATGCTTTAAGAGAACCTCATATTTCACTAAACAGCCAGACTCCTAAGAACAGTTCAAATGAAACATGAGTTACAACCCTTTGGACAATTATCTACACTTAGGCTTCAAGAATGGTAGCTACTCAATAAATACTCATGGACACACTGGCCACCTAACCAAATGGAAGAAGGGGCATTTGGAGGTCTTAATATTCAACAGCAAAAATCATTCTCATAATGTTTCAAAGAGATGGGCATACTTGATGCATTCAATATACATGACATAAGAAATAAGCAAGATCCAGATAATTAAAGTGTTGCTGCCAGAGGTCAGAGTAGGGGTGGAAATGGTACCCAGTTTCCCAAGTGAGGATCTGAAAAATAAATTTCATGACAGTCCAAGGAACCCACTGCCTGGCATTCTTAATAGGGGAAGGTGGTGCTGACACCACACTTTTTGGGGGCTTCCTTTCTTGAGAATAAAATTGGCCTGCTTATTTCCAGGTAAGGGAAGAACTAGTCAGCACTTAACACGCAGGAGGGATTGCTCAAGAACTCTTTATCCCTGGGAAAAGTGCATCCTTGAAGGGCCACCAAGGACAAGGTCTGCTTTCCTTATCAGTGTGAGCTTAGTACTATCCCATGAGATTCAAACCTCAACACCAGAAAAACTCCAGCCACATCCCATGTTCCTCAGGCCCCACAACCCTCATCTAAGCAGGATGGACACGTCCCAGTGGAGGCTGGGCACACTATCTTTCCACCAAGCCCCACAACAAAGCACAAGTTCAACATGTACTCCCGGAAAGCAGGAGGTTTGCTTCTTAGAGTCCGTCTGGACAATTTTCTAGTGTTTAGAACATTTAGCACTATTTCTTATGTTTGAGACTAGGAGTTTGGGGGTTAGAAGAAAAACAGATTCTGCAGAAATGATCACGACATCTTCTGCTGTCTCTTACCACTTGTATATAACTTCTTAGCTGTTCATCTGCTCTTTCTCTCTGTTCTCTATACTTCTCTATATTTTCTCTTACTGAAGAGAAGGGGCAGGAGTGGAGGGGATGATAAGCCACATATATACAACTCCCATCACCCACCGCAATACATATATAAATAAGCAAAGGGTGTCAGTGAGGCTAGCTGGGGTTGAAGGGATATGCACAAAACCACAAACTGATCATGAAAATGCTGTCTCCAAAGTCACCAAGGAGCTCTTAACATGGGGGGGCTGTTGCTAGTTCTCATCTGTCCCCTGCACCTCCGCAGTGTCACAGGGCAGCCAGCTGCTCCCTAAGCACTGGTCCTGGATCAGTGACACTGCACTATCCTTACTCCCCATCCACCAATATGAACATTCCCTTGGTCTCCTATGAGGACAAAGAGGCAAACAGAGGTTCAAGGCCATGTCCAAGATCATGTGCCTATTAAGAGAAGGAGCTGGGATTCACATCCAGGCCTCCTGACTCTCCCTGTGCCCCAGCCCGCAGAGGCACCAATCACAGAGCCCCTATTCCTCCTCTTCTCCCGAGACCACTGAACGCTGATTGTAATTACTGCTTCCCATGAAAAGACTCGCAAGTCTGCCTTCATAACCCCAACTACTCTCTTGCTGTCCTCATTCTCAAATGCCTGCTGGGCAATTCTTACCTGCATGTCAAAATTTAAATATCTTAAGACCAAACTCATCTTTCTAAAATAAGCTTTTCTCCCTGACATCTCCATTACAGTTAATGATTCCACTCTTCTCTCTGACACCCACACTAGAAACCTCTGGCTATAATTTCTTTCTTGGTCTTCTTTTCTATTCTTTTAAATTCAACCTTTGAAATGCATTCCCAGGCTTTCTCATTCCACCCATTCCTGCTGCCAGCACCTCCTCTGGGTTCTCAGCACCCCCAACTTGGAACACCTCCTCCTGGTCACCTGCCTCCCTGCCTGGACTCCCCTCTAATGTACCCCACCCCCAATTAAGGACAGACCAATCACCCTAGAGCAGGGTTTCTCAAGCCAAGGACATTTGGGGCTGGAGAGCTCTTTGTTGTAGGGGGCTCTCCTATGTTGTAAGGTGTTGAGCATCAGAGCAGCAGCACACACCCTCCACCCTGCCCCATAGTCATGACAACCACAAATGTCCCTTGACATTCCCAAATGTGCCCTGAGAGGCAAAATGGCCCTAGCTGAGAACCAGGGCCTTAAAGTTTGCTTCAAACAAGCTGCTCTTCTGAGGAACTCAGAGGCTCCTGGGAGCCTCCTGAAAGATTCTTAGAAAGGAAACAGTTTTCAAGAGATTAGGAAATTATTTTTCCTACTTGTGAATGCCTTTCTTTTAAGACTTTGGGCTTAACCACCTTTAGTCTGTGGTCCAAGGGGTACTGAGGAAAGAGCTTCTAAAGAGGAAAAGCAGGCAAATTCATCCTTAGTCTGACATCCCAGGCCCCCACAGCTGAGTGTCCTAGGCCAGAGGCGGTAGGCAAGAAGGACTCTGGGATCGGAAACAGAGGGCAACCCCAGCCCCACCAATTCCAGCTCTAGGACCTTGGGCCTGTCCTCTAGCCTCTCGCTGCTGTGTTTTGTCTGAAAAATAAAGATGAAAAAGGAGCCAAACTCATCAGACGAAATGAATGGAAAAGTGGCCAGCATGAAGCAAGTAAGTGATACCCACTCATATTATAAATGCTATTTATTTCCAGCCCTACTGCCTGTATGTCTCCAAAACAGGCTCTCAGCCCAGGCCAAAGTGAGTCCCCAGCAGGCAGTGAACACACTTCATGCTTGCCCACTGAGATACCCAATCATGCTCTCAAACCCTCTGTTCTCCATTCCCTTCTGTCAGAGTTGTCCATGCCTTTCAAGACCCAACTCAAATGTGATCTCTTACAAATCCTTCCCTCTTCAAACAAGTCAGAAGCCATTCTTCCTGCTCTGGGACCCCACATCTCTCTCTTGGCTTAGCACATTCTTTTGTCACAATTACAGGTGACAGAATTATTTTCCAACTAAATACATCTCAACTCCCAGGGGCAGAAGACCTGCCTTAGGGGTTACTCTGCAGAATGCAGAATGTTACTCTAAGATAATGCCCTTTACACAGTAAGTATCAAGTAATTCAAACTTGAATACATATATAAAATAACCAAAGTAAGATACTTTTATAACATAGTGATTTCTTATCAAAGACAAGCATTTTAAGGCATCTAAATACTCAACGTCTGCTATACTGAGTCAGCCATTCTTGCTAACACATACTTTCTAAGAGAAAAGATTTCAAACTTCCAGTTCTTAGTTACAAGGTCTTAAGCATGTGTCTACTTTTTTTTTTTTTATTTTGTTAAGTGCTGAATTACTGTTCCCACATAAATCGCTAATTGCTTCACTGCAGATTTGCTTTGTGCTGGCTTTAATGATTTCGCCATAGCCAGGCTTACTAAAACCTCAGCGTTTGCTTGTGAGTGTGAGGTTCTCAGTGCGAAGGGCTCCTCGGTATGTCTTCTCCTGGGTTTCAGTGTGAGCAAGTCTGGCTCAGGAAACTATTCACACTACACAGTGGTCATGAAACACAGTGTTTCCAGCCATCTGTGTTCCAGCAAAGGTACCGAGAGCCTGGAGTCTGGGTCTCTATTCCCTGGAAAAAAAGAGTCACCCAGGGCAATGCCGAAACACAAAGAGAACTGCCAACAATGTTCTGGAAGTCATCAGAAAGGAGCCTGACACTCTGGTCCTGGGCCAGCCCATAGGCCCCTCGGCACAATCCAAGAGGGATTAAGGGGCCAGCCCAGCAGAGGGACACTCAGGCACAGGAGTAGTCAAGGACACTCGAGCACTTGAGGAGTCAAGGGGGCAAGCTACCTTCTCAGGGAAGTGAAGTCTGTAGGACAACAGCATATTCGAATTCTACAAAAAAAAAAGTGCAGGCCTATCTCAGTGCCCCATATAGCTATAAATGTGTTGGAGGGAAAATAAAAGAAGTACTTAGTGGCTCACAAGGATATGAAATGCACTACCTTAGACAAAGGGGCAAAGATGAGAATGGACATAGGAAGCATTTAAATGAATTTATGGAGAACAGGGTTCACAGGAATAACGGCAGCAATAATGGTAGTATTGACTGACCTGTGTTCTGGACCAGTCCTGTTGTAAGCGCTTTTCCACATATCATCTCACTTAACCAACTCCCTCCCCGCCATGGGGGTTCTGTTGTTATGAACCCCCTGTTGTCTGGAAAACAACAAGTGATGTAATAGGAAAGCCCCACCAGAGAGAAGATTCCAGGGTTCTAGTAGCAACTCCTCCACTAACCAGCTGTGAAACCAGCAACTCTCTCCTCTCTGGGCCTTGGCTTCTGCACCAGTAACGAGGACAAGTCTCTAGAAGGCCCATCAGCTCTCATACTCCAAAGCCAAAGCCCCGACTGGATGGATCACAAATCTGAACAACAGGGACATTGATTATGTTTTTAATATTCATAATGGAAAAATAAAACAGAAGCAAAAAAAGAGAAACCACTTTTTTCATATGCAACTAAAACATCCATTTCTAACACTGGAAACAGTAGCATAATCACAGTTATAAAGTCTATAATGCTTCAATATGTCATAACAACATGCTGAATTGCAGAGATAACTGAGACAAAAGCATCGCTTTTGCCTGTTTATTGGAATATTTCTCATTCTGCCCACATTTTCGGGGGGAAAAATCAGGATGAATATTTTCCACACATAATTTTGTATAACAACCCAAGCTTTGGGGGCCTGCCTATCATTCATCTCTGATGCTCCCTGCTCATCTGGCCTAGTGCCTTGCACCTAATAAAGGCTCAATGAACATTTGTTGAGCAAATGATCAACTCACCTCTTCCATGTATATCTATCTTTTGATATTTATAGAGAAACTGCTTAATAGCAGCGTTTTTCTAAATGGCAGAGTGTTTGCGACTGCCAGGGTGGATGAAGGCTAAATTCGGGCAGCTCTCCCAAGGCTGCCAGTCCAGTGGATTCATTAGCACCCCATCCGCCTGTCCTGCTCCAGCACTTATTCCCCAGCACATCTTTAAGCCCAGCCCATAGACAATTAAATCCCAAATCTTCAAGAGAAAGGCAATCATAAATCGGAAAAATCATTTCCCAGTCCCTCGAAAATGGTTCCCTCCTCTGCCTGATCTCTGCCTAGAATTAGCTGCAGGTGATGTGTACCGTGTATAGCAGTTTGTTCTGAGCTTGGGATTTTTTACCCTTTCCAGGTAATGACCTGGAATCTATTGAAAGCTACAGGCCCTCTTTAGAGAAATGCACACACAAGTCTTCCTACAAGTCCAGAGGTGCAGTGGGGGATGGTGCACAGACCTCCTGAAGCAGCCCCCAGGCATAAGACTAAGCACCCCTAGGATGTGGTAAGCAGAGGGGGTGAGCAAGAGCATTAGCGCTCAGTTGACTTGGCTGCTACCTTCTCAGCTGATCCCTGCAAGGCCCTTAAGGACACAGGCCATGGATCTTATAACACAGATACCCTGAAATGGCATCAGAACCAAACCTAAGTCCATGAATCATGCAGATGCTCCATTTGTTTCCACTTAAAATATCAGAAGAAGGTTGGGGGGGGGGCTGGAAGAAAGAAAATATATTAAATAGGAGAGAAGAACTTACTCCCCAAAAGATAATTTTGAAATGACTTAAAAATACAATTGGAGAGAGCCTCCTGTTACTGTAGATATTAACCTGTCACTTCTCCACAGGCTAACTCTACATAATAATTCAATATTTACCTGACCTAAACCAGGGGTGGGCCCCTGGGTGGCCTGGGGAGTCCCTCATAATTGATTTTTGAGTGCCCAGCAGCTGTAATTGAATAATGGGGGTGTCCAGCAGTAGGTTGATTAGGTTAGAGTGAACATTGTAGCCCTATAATTTAGGAACTCTACAAATTTGAGCTTCTGGGTCATCTCTGGACCCCACCATCAGCGACCGCATGTAGTCTGAATAGAGAAAACCTCAGGAAATGTTTGGTGAGTGACTTAATAAAGTGCATGAATAGGTAAATGAATAGTCTGTAAACCTACTCCCTATCCCACTCCCCAACACACATGCAGGTTTGGGGGGCTACACCTTTGTTTACCCTATATCTTCCTCCCCTTCATCACCTAATTGCCACTCTTCTTCAAAACTCAGTTCTGGTATCCTCTCCTCCTGGAAGCCTTCCCTGATCTCCCCGAGCTAGGGTAAGAACTCAGGGTCCTTATAATATTGTTTCATCAAAATTAAAATGTCTTCTTTTGGTGCCTACTGGATCATGTACTGAAAATTCAAATATCGAAGCCCTAACCCCCAATGTAGATTGTATCTTGACAAAGGGGCTATAAGGAGGTAATGGAGATTAAGTGAGGTCATAAGGGTGGCATCCTGATTGCATAGGACACATATCCTTATAAGAAGGGAAACCTGCTTCTTCCTCTCTTTCTCTCCACACAGACAAATCAAGGAAAGGTCATGTGAGGACATGGCTAGGAGAGAAGAACTTATTCCCCAAAAGATAAATTTGAGAAGAGACCTTCTAACAATAAACCAGCCCTGCCTGCAGCTGACCTCAGCTTTCCAGCCTTCAGAACTGTAAGAAAATAAAGGTCTGTTGTTGAAATCTCCCAGTCTGTGGTATTTCACTAGAGCCACCCACATGAATCCATAACAGTATCAAGGCACCAACTCAAGGTCCTTGAGGGCTGGGCTATATCTTAATCCTATTTCTAGTGTTAGTACTTAATACAGCCCTTGCACATTATAAGTGCCTAATAAATTCCCACTGAGTAAATGTAAGAACAGATGAAGGCAGAGACTGGAAAGACCACCTCACTTTCTGACCCTTAGGCGTTCAGAGCCACCTTTGAACCCCCATTTGATCAGAACAAGCAGAAAATCAGACATGTGAGGGGATGTCACTCAAGCAAAACCAGAGGCCAAGCCTAATACTATCCTTCCCGCCAATCACTGCAGCTGATGTTGCTACCTGACCCGGATGTCAGCAGTAAGAGGGGAAAAGGTTTAGAAATAATAAAATGCTCTACTCAGCAATATCTTTTATTCATATGGCAGCAGGCTGTGGCTTTTGAACCTGGCCACAGAGCCCTTTAACCCTCTGACTGGGCTTTGCATATGGGGTTGAGACTAAACACATGTGCTGTGCTTTGAGAGATCAAGGAGGGGAGAGCCTGGGGCCCCCGGGGAAACTAATCTAGTGCTGGAGGGCTGACATTAGGCGTTGCTCTCTCAGCCCTTTGAATGTCCACAAGTCAGCAGACACATGTTAAATGAATATGCAGAAAATGCAGGGCATGATCAGGGGAAAGATAAAAGACGCTCAGTTGTAGACCCCAGCCTTCAGGAGTTTTGCTAACTAAACTACAAGAAATGAAAATAACGAGGAGCATGAGATGGACTGTCCACACCAATTGAAATCTCACCACACGTCAAGCACATCCTGTGTGTTTTCCATATATTTACCTCATTAACCCTCATGCAGTTCAATGTCATTTGTATTAGTATTCCCATTTCACAGATGAGGACCCTGAGGCAGATACAAATTAAGTAGTTTGCCCCACATGTAAGACAACTAAGGAATGGACCTGGGCCTCAATCCCGAGTGGCCATCTCCAGCACCCTGTTCGTAGTGACTGCAGTGAAGTGCCATATGTATGAGGGGGAATTTCATTTTCACCCTCTAGAGTGAGGGGGCTGACTGGGAGCAGTCTTTTAATAGGTTGGTGAAGAGTGTTAAGAGAAGGCACAGAATATAAAGCAAGCGCCACTCGCATGGAACCGGGGGTGGGGGGGACCTGCATGCTTTGCTCAGCAAGACCCCTCAACCCCATTCTTTCCAGGGCAATCTTGTGGAGGAGCCAAGGACCTCTATGTGATGCCCCAGACCAGACCACTGCCATGGGCCTCCCTAGGACAACAATCCATGATTCTAACGCTCTGAGAGCTGAGAACAGAAGTCTCAGAGCCAGGGAAGCCCAGCACCATGGAAGAGAAGGCGCAGTGGTGAAAGCTGTTTCGGAAGGGACGGGAAGGCGGTGAGGCTAGGAAGGGGCAGGAGGGAGTCCCGGCCAGCTGGAGGAACAAAGCACACTACGGGTCCAGTTTGGATTTTGCTCCCCCCTTGTCTTCCCAGGTCAATGGACCACCCTGAGTGTATCCCATTTCTTCTGGAACTTGTAACTGGTAACAAACACGTGGCCACCTTGCTCTTCAGCTTTATGAGAGCAGCTTGTGTGTGTACCTTAACCCAGGAATGGTACTGAAAAAAAGAGTTAAAAGTAAATGGGAGGTCCAAGGAAAACGCGCCTGGTACACCCTCTGGCATTCCTGTGCGTTAGCTTGTGCTGTGTCACTGAAAACATGACCCAGTTTAGCAACAACATCAGCATAGCAGGTACTACAGAGAATGCCAAGTATTAGAGACCGAGGCACGCAGGAGGTAAGACGCACACAAACCACGTTGCAAAGCGGAGGCAGGGACCAGTAACAGGCTCTGGTTTTGATTTAAGCCCCTGGTAACTACACCACATGGAGAAAACAGAGGAACGATTTTCACAACAGCAACAAGAAACGAAAGAGCCCACCCCTGAGCATGGCTGCAGTGCCCCATGAGGCAAGCCGCACCTGCTACTGAGACAGGACAGGTTCACTCCCATTTTTAGATACTCTGTGTGTTTGGGTAGCCCCCAAAGAACTGGGTCTTCCTTCATCTGGAAATGACAAAGGGCCAAAGCTCTGCGTGCTCATTACCATGTAAATGAAAACTGCAGAGGCAGATTTTCAGCAAAGCCACTCTCAAGGGGATGAATGCTGTGCTATTTCTCATAAAACCATGCAAGACTCTCTTCTCTTAATTCAAAGCCTGCTGATCAGGTCATACTTTACAGAATCCTTCCCCAAATCAGACCCTGGAATTCCAGGAGCCCACTTGTGGCAAAGGGCTGAGGACAGTCAGGGCCCATGAAGAGGCTGCAGCCAGAAGCCCTTGGCCAGCTAACAGGCTGCTTTCCTGGAGGCCACTAAGGCTGGAATGTCCACAGAGGATTTCTAGGCCTTCCCAAAAAGGAGCAGCAATCCCAAGATCTCTAGCACACAAGCACCCCAAAGTAGTATCCCACCAGAAAAGCTTTAAAGAAACAGAGTATCAAGAATTAGAGTGTGCGGCTGGGCCAAGAAGAGACATCTACTCAGATCAAGCACTCAGTGATTCTCTGCACGTAAAAGCAACTCCTGATACATCCACCATCCTACCTGAGCCTGAAGTTGCTGGTCCACTGTGCCCAGATGCTTCCAGACACAGAAACACCAAACAGGCTAAGGGGGGACAGAGAGGGACACATTGAGCCATTGCCTCCCTACTGGACTGCTTGAAGCACCTATAATCAATCACTTGCCTGCCTCACATGTTTAGCTTCTTTTCCCCCAGAGGCCTATGTGAGCACACAAAAGGGGCCGACTGGGCTTGAGCCAACAGCTATTGAGAAGTTCCTCTCAACGGCACAAGGACCTTCTCCATCCCCAGACGCAACTATTCACTGAACACGCCAGCAGCAGGGACCCAGCACAGACTGGCACATCCCACTTTGCAGCAAAAGAGCTCCTCCAGCTGCCTGGCATCATGTCCACACAAAATGAGCTTTCATGGGGGTCAGGACCCACACGTGGGGAGGCGTTTACATGCTGTGCAGAACAACCCTTCTCCTCCCTTCGGATGCAGAGAGGCAAACGGCAGAAATGGCCCTAGGCGCCGTAGAGAGGTCTCCTTCCAGACAAGCAATCATAACCGCTTTGTATTCTTGTCTTCTGACCCTGCCTCCTCCATACTCGCACATCCCACCCCCTGTGAAGAGTAGAGGAACAAGTTTTATTGCCCCTGATTTACAGATGAAGAAACCAAAGCATGCAGAGGTTAAATGACTTGCTTCAGAGGTGACAGAGCTGGTCACAGGGGGTGGGGGTGGCAGAGGGATCACTCTGACAATTGTACCTTTGAAGATTAACTGACAACTTTAGAAGACTGCGTCTTTGAAGGATGGAGGACAGGCTGCCAATAGACTCATGTAGGAAGGACGTGCATCCAAAGCACTGGGCACATAAAAAAACCCAGCGCAGGGCGGGGGAATGGGTGTCAGCAGGGAGGGAGCCCCCCAGTTACCATCAGTGCCCTCACACGCAAGGTCCCCTCTGCTCAACATCCCCGGGAGGAGAAACACTCAAAGCTGCCCATGGTCCCCTACTGACACTGTCAAACCTTGTTCTGAGATTAGCTTTGTTTTCCCAGTGAAGGCTGAAAATATTCTGATTCTTCTGCAGCCCAGCTTCAAACATCTCTACGCAGATTCTCCACCCTCCCCATCGCCTGGTCCTGCTCTCCTTTCTTGCGGTTGGTATGGGCATCCAGAACTCAAAGAACTTTAACACCAGCCTAAAAACAACCCACCTGTCCCAAATCAGATGTGATCATCAACAGCCAGAATCAAGTTGTTGATAGTTGTTGTTCTTATCACTATTACTGCCAATACTGATTTTATCAGTATACTCCTCACTCTCCTTACTAGCATCTGTTCTTTTGAAGTAAATGTAGATTTTTCCTGGGTTTTATTATCAAACTTCTTCTGTGTTCACTCTACAGGCTCTTCTGGGGAAGCCCAGGCTCTCTGCAGTCCCACAACCTCACCATGCAGGTGACACACAGATCTTCAGCTCTCATCTCTCTCCCATGTGCCAAGCCGTGTTTTCAACTGCTGATGTACAGATGGTACCCAAATGCACGACCTGCAGGCAATGCAAGCCTCCTCATCCAAAATGAACTCATTAGCTTCTCTCCAAATGACCAGTGAATGTTCTTCCTCTTCCTCCATCCCCACATCCAGCCAGCTGTCTGGCCTCAGTTAACTCTGCTTCTTCATGTCTCTTATGTGCATTTATTCCTCAATAGCTAAAGCCCTCATCACATGCCTTGGGGCCA